TAATCATCCCTGCAGCCTTCCACCCTGTCTTCGCATCCCAGTGCTGCGCCCGCAAGCGCCCCCACCTGCAGTCCTCCTTTGCCGTCCACATGTCCGGCTCCTCCCCCTCCCTGGCCACGTTGATGAGCTGGCACGCCGCAATCAGGGGGTTGTAGAAAGCGGGGCGCTCCCCGTGGGCGTCCACAATGGTGGTCTTGGAGAACACCTGGGGTCAGTGTTGTAGCAGGTTTGCTCTGTGAATGGCACTGGTACGTCAGGTGTGCACGGCACGCTGTTCATGCTTTGAAACAGGAAGGTCGGGCCGCATTTTGGGAAGGCGCAAACCCTAGCTGCTCTGGCTGCAGGACTCCAGAGTCTCCCAGCGTGGGGGTTGCCGCGTGCCCACCCCGTCCCAGACAGCCTCGTCAGCAGGCGGGGCGTCCGCCTGGCACCCCTCTCGCGTATCCAGCGGCGCTGCACCCTCTTGATCCCCCTCCCTCGTTCCCGCTGCACCCTCTGAGACCTCGCGCCTTGCACCCTCTAGATCCTCCCACCTTGCACCCGTGCACCCTCTGGGACCTCTCACCTTGGCGCACGCGCGCAGCACCTGCTCAAGGATCCACACCACACTTGTGCCGTTGGCCGCCAGGGCAATGGCAAACTCCTGGCCGGTGCACAACGCCGCGGCCCTGACACGTGCAAGTACGTATGGGTGTGCATGCAGGCAAGTAAGCGCATGCGTGTGCGTGGGGTTTGACTTTGACAAACACAAAGTCCGCATAGATGCGTGCCCTGTGCGGCCTGCGCCAGAGGTGCCACGGCGAAATTGCGACGCGGCTTGCGGGCTTGCTGCGCCCCCGCGGTTGCTGCACCCAGGGAACCAGCAGGGGCGCGGTGCGCGCACCTGGTGCGCCGCTTGAACTTGCCCTGCGCCGCCACGTGCACCAGGCGTTTCTTGCCCGCGAAGACCGAGGCGTCTGTTGTTGGCAGGTTGTCCATGTGAACTATCAGCTTGCCCTGGGAGCACAGGTGCAAGTGGGCCCAGGCGGAACTTGTTGGGGCAGGCAGATCACAGCTCAAGGTTGCTGAACCAGTGCATACTTGGAAGATGAGGGACAGAGACACACGTTGAGCAGCACCGCTAGCCGCAGCAGCAGCCCCACCACGCCCGACTGCCGCAGCCGAGGTGAAAGCGCTGCTGCGCCTGGTAGCGGAAGCAGCAGCAGCGGCAGCGGCAGCGGCAGCAGCAGCGGCAGCAGCAGCAGCAGCAGCAGCAGCAGCAGCAGCAGCAGCGGCAGCAGCTGCAGCAGCGGCAGCGGCAGCAGCAGCGGCAGCAGCAGCGGCAGCAGCGGCAGCAGCAGCGGCAGCAGCAGCAGAAGGCGGCGTCGTGGGCCGGAACATACATGAACAACTGGGCGGGCCCCCACCTTGAAGACGGCGCTGTCCACCTCAATCATGCCCCCGTTGATGTCCAGCTGCTGCCGCGGGTCCGCCGACCCGTTGAACGAATAGCCCTCCAGCGCCGGGTTCGGCGTCACCACGACTGGGTAGTGGGGTGACGCCTCCAGGTCCTCGAGCGACGGCATGGCCGGCCGCGAGCGCGGCAGGACCTTGTCGGCGCCGCTGCGCGGGATGATGGAGAAGACACTCTTGGGGACGTCCTGGGCGCGGCGCGGGGACGAGGGGCCCGCAGAGCCCGGCTCGGCGCCGCGCGCCAGGGCCTGGTGGTTAGCGGCCGGTGGGTTTCAGGGCAGCAGGAGGAGAGGAGGCGTCAGGTGAACACAAAGGGCGGTTTGTCGGGCATGCCAGGAGCGGCGCGGCGTTGACCTGTTGACCGGCGATGCAAGGGCGCTGTCGGGCAGCTCGACCAGGTGCGTGCCAACCGGCGGGACAAAGCGCACATGCTGCATCAACAGTGTTGAGGGGAGGATTTGAGCCCCGCACGTATGAACGCGGTTCGACACACCCGGGCTGCATCGCCTTAGAGCGCGCACGTCACTGCCATCACGCGCACCTCCTGGAGGGTTGCATGTGCTGCCGCGGCATCCAGGCGCGCCTCATCCGAACTCAGCGACGAATCGCTTTCGCTAAGCCTGACAACCTCTGCTCGTCCCCCACCCTGGTCACGCCTTGCATCCCCATCCCAGCCCGCCTCTCGTCCTGCCTTCACTGGGTCGCTGCATACATCGTCGTTTGTGCTGATATCAATGCTCGGTAACGGGGCAGCAAAGGTCATGGCGTCCGCACGTCACCCAACAATGAAACAAGGTGTCCGCTAGAGCTGCTGTCAGAAGAGTCCTTTCGCGTCCTTATGCAGTGATTGTGATGTTTAGGGGCCTGCAAACCGATATGGCCGCCCCCACACATCCGAATCGCGCCGTCCCTGGCTAGCTTGTGTGAAGTGCGGGGGGTGCCAGCACACTGCGGAATGGCCTGTGGTGATGCTGCTGTATTGGCGGTTGAAACGCTGGGAAGCACAGGCATTCAGATGAGACTAAGCAAAGTTCACTTGAGCGCTCACTGCTATGGGGTCCTCCCTGCACGGTGTACATGGACCGTATGATGTGGCACTGGCAATTCATGGAATGAGTCAAGGGGTCAATTCAAATGTCAAGCATGGCGGGGTTCCAGGCCGAGGGCGGGCGGGGGACAGTAGACGGGCGTCCAAGCGCGTGTATCGAGGATGTCACGGGCAGGATGGAATGCGTGCGCGCAAGAGCGGGAGCGCAAACGGGTGCCGCCAGGCACCTGAGCATCTTTGACGGCGGGATTTCGGTGATCATACGGGGTTATCATGGGTGTGTGGGGTGGCGGGACGAGGACTTCGAGAGAGGGTGCCAATGAGCGGCCTGTTAGTGCGCAATCTCTGGGGATGTTATCGATGGGATGGGGTGGCGCCAAGCGCAGCGGGAGCGTTGCCAGGCAGCTGCGATGGCGGCGATGTCCGGCGGGTGGGGCTCTTGGGCTGCCGCAGCGCTGTATGTTACGGTCTGTCTCTTTGTGTTGTCGTGCTGAATGTGATTCATCCCCATTGCGGAGCCGAGCGCGGTTCGGGCCTTGTTGACCGCTGTCGGCCGCTATGTCAGGGCATGTGGTGGTTGCAGTGCTTGTCACCTCAGATTGGTGGTGCTGCTAGGGAGCGAGACGGGCACGACTAGTGTTTGCCTTACTGAACGCAGCCATCACCGAGGATTAGCAGAATGCTGTGGTAGCCACTGGACGCATGTGTTCCGGGCGGCTTGCAACTGGATGTTGGGCAATGAATGTAAACGCAGTCTGTGCTGAAGGTCAAACTTTCAAGTCAAAGAGGCGCATCCGATACAGCACTGCATTTGAGGGGTACTAAACCAAAGTCCTGCTTCAGCGTTAGCCCACAGACTTTGCGTGGTGATGCAGTTGGAGCTTCTTGAAGGCCGCTCAAAGAAGGTGTGCAAACAGTCACGTGTGAGGCCTGCAACAACTGACTCAACGGTTGAATTGTTGGTCTACCTCTGGAGGCAGCTAGCGCGAGAAGATCTTGCAGCTAGTGTGCCACCAAGCTGCTTGGCGCTGCCTGCCACTATGGCGACAGCTCGCGCGAACGTCCCACGGCCCGATCCAGCGGCGTCCCCTTGTACCGAAAGGCGTGGGAGGCGTGACAAGGGGAGCGGGCGCGCAGACCCGCAGAATGGGAGCACAGCAGGACGAACGGTGGAAAGGAAGGTGAGGAAGGGGAGGGTGGCGAGTGTGAGACAGGTGTGTATTCCACAGGCGCAAGCTGCAGTGTAAACCCAAACACCTGCCGCCAAGAAGCGGCACAGCGGCATGCAGCATGAGCCGCGCAGCGGGGACTGCACTGCAGGCGCATCTGGGCCTGCTGGGTGCGAAGCCAGCGTCGATCCTGTACAGTACACTGAAGCCTTCAGGTGCTGGCGCTGCAGGGACGGTTGAACATCCGTGCCATATGTGATATTGACCCTTTCATCCACCATGGATCGCCTGCTCGGTGGTGTCGCGAACGCACTGGCGGTTCCCCAGCGAAATGCCGCGGCCTTAGAGCGTCTGGACAAGAAAATCCAGGAGTTACAAGGCGATGCCATCAACCGGCTTAGCGAGGGCTTGGACACCATCAGCCCGGCGGTGTTTGTGCAGGTCATGGACTCGCTGGTTGTGCGCCGCAGCGGCGCGAGCGGCGAGGGCGGCGTGCCAAGGGGTGCCTTTGATGCAGCTTTTAGCACATTTGAGGTGGGTGGCGCCACGCCTTGCGGCGCCCCGTGCCTTGATTGGATGCACACACACAAGCAGCCGGCGTGACGGTGATTTGGACGCCGCTCAGCCACCTGCTTGCAGAATTACATGCCTTGCAAACTCCACCTGCAGCCATTTCATATGAGTGAATCAGTCTGAGATCCTCTTATTGTCGCATCTACACGCTGTGCTCCCGGCCCGCCTCAATGGCAGGCCGAAGTCATCAACTTCCTGCACAACGCGGCCGCCCCCGGCAGCCACGCGTATGACCCCCTCCGCACGCCCGCCTGCGCCGCCGCCGCCGCCGCCGCCGCCGTGCGCGCGGACGCAGCCGCCGACGCCGCGGGCGCATACGCTGCAGGCGGGGGCGGCGCCGTCGGGCTCTTGGGTCGGACGCGCGTCATGCTGCTGAACCGGATCGTGAGGGAGACCTTCAGCCTCGACGGCAACGACGCGCTGCCCGCCGCGGCCGCCGTGATGCAGACGCCAGGCGCGCCCGAGGCGCTGCTTCGCGCCGGGCTGCTGCCGCGCGAGGCTCTGGTGCGGATCGGCGCGCCGAGCAGCAGTCCGTATTCGCAGGAGGGGGACCATTTCTGGACGTTTGTGCGGCTGGCGCAGGTGTTCATCGACGCCGAGGGGGACGCCGCCGAAGGCGCGCTGCAGCTCGACGCTGACGGCCGCGCCGAGCTCGCCGCGTGGGCGGCGGCGCAGCCGTGCATCGCGACGCTGGTCGCCGGCGTCGTCTGCGCCCGCCTCTTCGAGGGCGGCGAGCGCGCGGAGCCCGCCGTTATGCTGGCGTCGCTGCTGCTGCGCCACTGTGATGATCCGGGGGCAGAGACGCCCCTCTCTGCCGCTCTGCTGGCGCACGCGCGCATCACCCTTCCGCTGCTGACCGCGCACGCGCAGCACCCGGCCGCGACCCCCGCGGCAGGGGCCGTGGTCTGGTGCACGGCAGCAAACCTACTCTCCTCCGACCGCCGCGCCGCGCTCGCAGCCGCGTGCGGGAGGGATATCGCCAAGCACGCGCTCGCGTTCCTCGGCCGCCCTGCCCGCTGGGCCGCCGCCGGCGGCGCCGCGGCCGCGGCCGACTCGAGCCCCGAGGCGCTCACATATGCTGCCAAGGCGCTCCGCGCAGCCTCCCATGCGCTCTGGCAAGTGGCGAACGCGGACGTGGCCGCGATTTCAGGCGG